ATATCAAAAAAGTACTCCAGAGTGTTGTTCAGCATGGGGGTGAGTAGAAAATGAAGGCTAATCATGTTTTGGGTGTACTATTCCTTTAAATGCTAAACTGAATTATGAGTTTTTTCAAGCTAAAGGAAGGATTTAGATTTAATTCTTGTTATTTTATGTTTGCTTTTTTAGTTTCTCATTTTTTCTGTTTCATTTTTATTTTTTCAATTCCAACTAAGATTTATAGGTTTACAAACATTTTGACCCCTTTCTGACTCCATAGAAACCTATTCCCAGAGCACTACTGTATCTAAACTCCACTGTCGATCAGTATAGCACTGGAGAACAGGTGGAAAGAGTTTTTCTATCCACTTGGTCTGATAGTCCAAATACATTTCTCCCAACATCTGCTTAATGAAACTTTGCTAACCAATCTAATTCACTCCTGGAGCTGAAGGTTTGTCTTGGTGATCCAGAGCAGCAGTGATCAATCGGCTCTACCTCAACTTTTAGGTCAGTCAAGTAAAAAAAAAACTCCCTTTCATTGTCTAAGTTAAGGAGCTCTCTACTGAGTTACTAAAGCATTTCTATGAAGCTTTTCTAGTGTCACGTTTCTCTGAGAGTTCATGTCCGTTAACCCTTCTCACCCCTAGTTTCACTTCTCCCTTGGTCAGAATAGAAACTTTATGGTCTGCTGCTGTAAGCCGCCTCCAGCGCCAAATGTCCAAACTCACAAAACTGTACTGGTGGCGCAGGCAGTGAGACCACAAACGTTTAAAACCTAAAATAGAACTGTGCAATGGAGAAATACCTTTTTTTCCATCTATTTCTATAGTATCAGTGCTAGTTGTGGTGCTTCAGAAAATGTTTTTTTGAACCGATAGGATCATAGTACCTCGACCTCCTTTGTGGGAAGAGCCATGTTTGGCACCATGATGAGCAGCAGCAGCATCCAGACCACCAGCGAAAGCAGCCAGGCAAAGCCGGCCTCCTGCAGCCGCAGAGACTGCGCCGTGTGGCGGTCCTGCAACAGAACACAGTCCTAGTACCCCCATCACGGATGCACATAATCCTCAGATTCTGCTCTTAATCGTCAAAGATAGCGCTCTACCTTGAGGTAGTGGTCTACGATGATGAAGGCGAGGAAGGCGATGGATGCGTACAGGCTAATGTACATGGTGACGCTACTGGCTTGGCATTGGAACACCATGAGCTCCCATGGTGCTGCCTGGAGGTCCTTCAAAATCTTAAATGGGAGCACGAGGAGAAGCAGGATGTCGGCTAGAAGCAGGTTGATCAAGTAGACGGTGGTGCTTCGCATCTGCTGAGGCACAACCAGTAATCACAAAGCGACCAACATCCAGAATGAAGAGCATAAGATTCATAGCAGTGGATCTGGAAAACACACAACTTTAATTTTCAGTGTTTGTCCTTTTATTGTCTTCTTCTTATTTTTGGTCTGGGATGGACTGGCGACCTGTCCAGGGTGTACCCTCCCTCTCGCCCGTTAACAGTTGGAGATAGGCACCA